CAGTTCACTGTGTTCTGTCATGCCATTGGTCAGTTCACTGTGTTCTGTCATGCCATTGGTCAGTTCACTGTGTTCTGTCATGCCATTGGTCAGTTCACTGTGTTCTGTCATGCAATTTGTCAGTCCACTGTGTTCTGTCATGCAATTTGTCAGTCCACTGTGTTCTGTCATGCCATTGGTCAGTCCACTGTGTTCTGTCATGCCATTGGTCAGTCCACTGTGTTCTGTCATGCCATTGGTCAGTCCACTGTGTTCTGTCATGCCATTGGTCAGTCCACTGTGTTCTGTCATGCCATTGGTCAGTTTACTGTGTTCTGTGATGCCATTGGTCAGTTCACTGTGTTCTGTCATGCCATTGGTTAGTTCACTGTGTTCTGTCATACCATTGGTCAGTTCACTGTGTTCTGTGATGCCATTGGTCAGTTCACTGTGTTCTGTCATGTCATTGGTCAGTTCACTGTGTTCTGTCATGCCATTGGTCAGTCCACTGTGTTCTGTGATGCCATTGGTCAGTTCACTGTGTTCTGTCATGCCATTGGTCAGTGCACTGTGTTCTGTCATGCCATTGGTCAGTTCACTGTGTTCTGTCATGCCATTGGTCAGTCCACTGTGTTCTGTGATGCCATTGGTCAGTTCACTGTGTTCTGTCATGCCATTGGTCAGTGCACTGTGTTCTGTCATGCCATTGGTCAATCCACTGTGTTCTGTCATGCCATTGGTCTGAAATAGATTTGAGTGATACATGCATGGAACATAGAATAATTAATATATCACCATGTATGGATATCAAAGTCGCAAACCATTAACCTAATTTTTATAATTAGCCAATTTTCAGTTTTTCACTGATACCTTGAGAATCAGATGTTGCTTTTTAATTAAACTTTGGTTTTTGGTTGACATCTGCGTATATAAATTCTCTAATTTGCATAAATTAGCCTATTTTTAGCTTTTTTTCCCCAATAACAACTCATCATATTTCAATGAGACTTGATACATAGGTGTTCTGGGGTTATCCATAAAAGTGATTAGCTTCAGGTTAAAACCATGCATACTAATTATAATTACCTAATTTAAATAAATGAGCCAGTTTTTAGCTGTTTCATAGATTTCAAGTACCGGTAGCAACAGTCAGATTTCAATGAAACTTTGTTCATAGATGCACTGGGGTGATCCACAGAAGTGATTATTTCAGGGTTAAAAATTGTTGAATATTGATAATCTTATTTGCATAAATTTTTATTTTTTATTTTCTCAAAAAATCAGATACAAATTAAATTATTGTCGGACAGTTGCTCTGGAATAAATCAGCTACAAACTAGAGATGTACAATCAAATCTATTCATTTTGTTTCAACAACAACTTTCTGTGCGTATTATATCAACTCCAATATTGTGGATCACATTGTTTTAATGTGGTGCTTCTTAAATAGGAGACTTATATCCAGGCTTCTTAAATTTTGAATGAATTTTAGAAATTACCTATTTTCACTGTGATGTGCTTCTATACACAGTTCTTTCTAAGCTTACTTTGATCTTTTGATTCTGTGATTCAATTAAATATACAATATAGAGTGGAGAAGTTGTGCGTATTGAGAAAATCAAAAGAATACTCAGATGGTGAATGAAATATCAGATGTATGCTTTTCTTTGATTTATTTTGATGGATCTGCATGTGTCACATTTTATTTTTTATGGAGTAAATGACTGCAGTCATCACACAGTGTGCATGCAAACATTATTTGAATGAACAGTCAATTTTTATATGCATTGCTTACATCCCATGTGAAGCTTATCAAACATCACAATGTGACAATACAGTTTCCTTAAAGTATGAGGAATTTGCCGATAGTGTCTAATATAACACATGGTTCTAAGCAAAATCAAAATAAATTTGGGTAACAGAACATTTTTGGGAGATAAATGTGTTTTTACTTTACCCTAATTAAGGAACTAATATAAAGTCAGTTTCATAAAAAATTATTAAATTGTTATTGAAAGTGTGAAGCATATTTTTAATAGAAAAAAACAACATTACTTAATATATAATATATAATTAAAATACATTTTTGTACCTCTTATCTATCATTTACTTAAGTGCATACGCTCCTAATAGCAAATACAGTACAAATAAAATAAACAAGTAATATAATAAAATAAACAAGTCACAAACATTTTTGTACATATATACTACCTTTACACAGCAGCATTCTATTGGAGCCGAACTACTGCTCCTCCAACTGATTAACAGGAGATTATCTTCTTTGTGATTACATGGTGGGGGGGGGGGCAAACGAATGAGTCTGCTAGAGATTAATTCAGTTTGATCAGAGCCGAATGGAACAGCGCCTCAATACTTAGTATGAAAACAACATGGATGAAAACAATTTTGATGTCATGCTTGTGTTGTTGTTTTTGACTCCTGTGTGCTATCTGAAGAGCTATTGATTAGATTTTGATGAAACTTGGTACATAGATGCTCTGGACAAATGCACAGATGTGATTAGTTTGGGGTAAAAATTAGTGCATATTAATTAGCTAATTTGCATAATGATTAGTAAATTTTCAGCTTTTCCACTGATATCTTAGGTACTAATCATCACATTACAACGAAACTTACATAGATACATGATGATGATGCACAGACATTTATGTGAAATATTAATTACCTAATTTGCATAATTAATAAATTTTCATCTTTTGATATTTCAAGTACTATTACTTCATTACTTTTCAATGAAACTTAGTACATAGATGCTCTAAAACAATCCAAAGACCTAATTAATTTTAATTAAAAAAGTGTGCATATTAATCAACTAATTTGCATAATTAGTTAATTTTTGGTTTTCACACTGATATCACATGTACTAATTATTCCATTTCAATGAAACTTACATAGATACATGATGATGATGCACAGACATTTATGTGAAATATTAATTACCTAATTTGCATAATTAATAAATTTTCAGCTTTTGATATTTCAAGTATTATTACTTCATTACTTTTCAATGAAACTTAGTACATAGATGCTCTAAAACAATCCAAAGACCTAATTAATTTTAATTAAAAAAGTGTGCATATTAATCAACTAATTGGCATAATTAGTTAATTTTTGGCTTTTACACTGATATCACATGTACTAATTATTCCATTTCAATGAAACTTGGTACATTGATGCTCCAGAACAGTCCACAGACCCACTCAGTTTTGAATTAAAATCAGATCATATTAATTACCTAATTTGCATAATAAATCACATTTTTTGGTTCTAATCACAGTTCAATGAAACTTCATACATAGATGGTCTGTGACAGTACTTATCTTAATTCAATGAATCTTGGTACATATGTACTCTAACACAATGTGATGATCAAATTAGTTTTAGGTTTTTATAC